GATTTATGGTCCTGCCCTGCCCAGCCCCAGGCCGCTCCGCGCCCAGTGTCTGGTCTCAGACGGGCATCCTTCCACCGCTGCGTGTGTTGGCCTCTGACCCTGTGTTTCCAGGTGGAGCATGCCAGGCTCTGGCCCTGCCTCGTGTCCTGCTCAGGGGTGTGGGCTGCAGGGTTGGCCCCTCCTGCAATGCCCTGTCCCGGTCCTCGCCCTCCCCCTTGGCATAAGGCCACGGTGGCTCAGCTCTGCCTCCTGGAACCCCACCAGCCCCATGAACTTGGCCTGTCCCGACCCCAGGGCCTGTCACAGCCATCTCAGCTTGGCCCACTTGACGGCTGCCCTCTGCTCAGCCACACCCCCTCCCGGTCTTGTCCCTGAGGCCCCGTCTCCTTGGTCCCCATCCCTTCCTGTGTCTCTCACACTCTGAGTCACAGCTTTGCTGTGTGGCCCGAGCCAAGTGTTTTAGCCTCTCTGAGCCCCAGTCCGTAAAGGGGGCATGCTCACAGGAGCCAGCAAGTAAGGCGGTTCCCGGTGGGGTGGGCGCCGGTGGAGGCGGTCGCCCTGGTACTCTGAGGGGACCAGCATAGGGGGCCTCGGGAGCCCAGGGGTGCCTGGTGGTGGGGAGTCTGGGGGTCGGGTCTCTACATGGTGCCAGGGGCCCGTCCTGCCTGGTGTCCATTCTCTGCTGGTCGATTGGTGAGGATGACCCGCGAGGTGGTGCCCCCGACCCTGGCAGGGAGACTCTGCTTGTAGCTCAGGTTCAGATGAGGAGACAGGTCCCAGGGACCGCAGCCTGGACCCAGGGACTGGGCTGACGTGTGTCCCTGGTGAGTCCAGGTCCCCCGAGACCTGCTGAGCCCCTCGTCTGAGTGGCGGGTGTCCTGATGAAGCTGCCTCCCCACCACCCCACCCAGCAAAGGCTGTCCTGCTGGTGTGGCCTTTCGCCCCTCAGGGGTCTCTTAGTGACAGCAGGCAGAGGACAGGAGAGACCATTGAGGAGAGGCGGTCTCAATGAACTGGTGTGTGCCCGGAGCTGCCCAGCTGGCTGGCGCCTGGCACAGGGCCTTGGGGATGGGTGCTGGTCAGTGCTGGGTGGGCTGGGCTGTGCCCCCTGCTCCCCTCCCCTCCCCCTAGCAGAGAAGGGAGCCTGGGTCAGCCCCAGGCTGATGGGGCTGGAATGTCAGACAAGGAACTGGCTGGCGGACAAGGGAGGGTCCAGCTCCGGTCTCTAGGTCTTCCCGGGGAGCCAGCGGGCTTGGGTGGGCTGGGAGTTGGGCCCTTGGTGAGGCGCCCGGTGGGAGGGAGGGGCCTGGGCAGCCGAGTGGCCGGCCACAGCCTGGCGGTTTCCAGGCTGGAAAACTGAGCTCTGATCCCTGACCTGCCCTCAGTCCCGCCAGGCTGCACGAGACATCGGAATGTCCTCGGTCCCGGACAGCAGAGCCCAGAGGCGGTGCCTGGCTCAGCAGCCGGGGGTCCCTTCCTGGACCTGTTGTCAACTCCGGAAACGGCGGCTGCACGGGGTCACTGCCTGCTTTGTTTGTGGAGGGAGGGGGGTGAGGCCAAGGGCAGCTGCCCGCGAAGACCCCGCTTGCCCCTGCCTGCTCCCCTTCACAGTGTGGCGGCTGGGGAGGGGATCTGGGCTCGGGCGCTCCTCTAGGCTGGGCATCTGGTCCGGTTTGCCCCCAGAGGGTGCTGGGGCCCCCTTTCTAAAGAGGGGGTGACGGGGGCTCGGAGAACGTTCTCTCAGCCCTGAGGTCTTGGGGCTTCGCTGAGTTGGGGAGCAGGCCCCTCCCAGCCCCCTCCCACGGTGGCCTCAACTGGGATGTGGTCAGTTCCTGTCCGGCCGCGGGGAGAAGCCTCTCCTGGTGGTGGTTTTGGTGGGGCAGCTTGTCCGTGCTGAAGTCCCCCTAGACCCCCAGCGCAGAGAAAGTAGGAGGGTTACTTAAAGCAACCTTGAGACCCCAGAAATGTGATGAGGAGCGGGAAGGCATGTCCCGGAGCGGCTCCCCGAATCCCTGGTCGCGGGATGGGCAGGTGGCGCGCAGTGCCAAATTGAATCAAATTAAGAAAAACATTTTCCAAGTGCAAGTAAAATATCTGTTTAATTAGGCCCCAAAGAGAAAATTAAAAGTAATATTTTGCAGCGGGGTAATTACTGTCTTTCTGAAGGTGCCGGGCAGCAGAGGGAGGGGTGGTTGAGGGGTGGTGTGGGCCCTGGGTTCTTAGGGCTGGGACCCTTCAGGGGCCGGGGCCTGTGGACCCCATGGCTCCAGGAAGGGTTGGGGAAGGGTCGGCTCCCCTCTGGTCTTCCCAGCCTCTGTGCTGAGGTCCGAGATTGTTGGCCTGGGCCAGGAGGCCCAGAGAGGGCTGCCCAGGGCATGGCGTGCTGTGGCCAGTGCCAGCCCCTGGGAGAAAGCCCCCCTCCCTGGAGTCCTGGGTGCTGGGGTGACAGCTCGGCTCTGGGTCTGTCCTGGCCAAAGCTTGCTGGTCCCTAGGTGGCCAGGCAGATTGGAGAGGTCTCGGGTCCCTCTGGTTCGGGGCGTCTGGCTCTGTGTGACCGCGTGCAGTGAGTGTCCATGCTGCCCGGGCTCACGCTCCAGCAGAGCTGCCTGGCCTGCCTGGGAGGCTCCGGGCGGGGCTGTCACCCCACTGGGTCTCCCATGGTTGCCCTAGGCAGGTCTCTCCTGTCTGGTGTCTGTCTCTGTGTCTGCGTCTCTGTCTCTGTGTGTGGTCTGAGACAGGTTGAAGAGATGGCCCCTGCCCCATGCCAGGGCCCTGGTGTGTCTGGGTGGGGCCTCCTTCAGCTTGTGAAAAGAAGAGCTGGACCAGAGTGGGTCCTGGGCACTGTGAGCACGGCAGCCCCTGCTGTGGGCTCCCCAGCAGGTGACCAGGCAGCCTGGGCTTGTCTTTCTGTGATAGGGGTGCTCCCCCCAGGGGCTTTGGTGATCAGTGCCCAGGCCTGAGTGGGCTGGGGCCTCCCTGACAGCTGCTGTCTGAATTCCTGATGACACAGCTGGGGTGGGGGTTGGGGGGCTTGAGCAGGAGTAAGTGGGGGGTGCTGCCCTGGTTTCCTGTTTCCTTCCCCCCAGCCTCTGTGCCAGCTGGCTGTGGTGGGGTGCTGGGGATCTGGTACATGCCTAGGTCAGCCCCCCCCTTCCTGCTTCCTCCTCGTAGCCCATGGCGGGGGCCCAGGGGCTCCCCGAGAGGTCTGAGGTCCCTAAGACAGGCAGAGGCCCGAGAACAATGGGCTGCCGGGGCTGGGGCCTGGCAGGGGCTGGGCCGCCTTTCAAGTCAGGTTAATGGCTCTAGCAGGCGCGTCCCTCCCGGCCACCATTAGTGGCCTCCCGCTGAGTGGAAAAACTGGAGTAATCGGAGCCAGGACCTGGGAAACGGGGAGTGACAGCCTGGGGACAGGGGTCTGGATTCCATCTGTAGCCCACGTGCCAGCCCAAGAGAGGTTCCCGCAGCGTTTCCACGCCCCCCCCCCCCCGCAGGACGCCACAGCCACCTCAGGAGGGGGGGGGTGTTCACGAGTCCGAGCCTCGCCAGGCACCGCGGAGGCCTGGGGCCCTGCAGCCCCCGCCGGGGAAAAGCCAGGCCGTCTGGTGTGGCCCCTGCCAGGCAGCTGGACGTGGTGTGGCCAGGTCACCCTTCCAGCCCACCTGGTCTCCCTGGGGGTGTGGGGACAGCTTTGTGGCTGCCCTGAGTGTGGGCTGGGCCCGGTACCAGGCACAGAGGGGCGGCTGCTCACCTCTCCGCAAGGCCACCACCCGCCACCGCTGCCCCGCACTCGAGCTCCCAGGCCAGGCTCAGCGAGTCAGGCTCAGGGAGCCGGGGTGGGTGACGAGACCCACCTCTTCATCTGAGAGACGGTTGTGTTCGGGGAGGCCCTCGGCCCCTTCGTGGTCAGCAGGGCCGCTGGACCGGCTGGGTGGCGTGGCCTGCAGCGGGCAGGGCGGCCTGTGGCCGGGAGGCAGGAAGGCCCTGGCTCTGCACGTGGGCAGCACGTGGAGGCCGGGGTGGGGGGCAGGTGTGGGTCGGCAGGTGACCGGCTGGCTGGTGGAGACACGGGCCTGTGTTTCAGTCTGCTCGGCTGGGTCGGCACTGGGGGTCCTGGCTGGTCACGGCCGCGCCCAGCTGGGCCCTGGCTCAGACCCTGCCCCCTGCAGGGCTGTCCTGGGGGGCAGTGAGGGAGAGTCAGGGTGGCAGTCAGGGAGGGCTGGGCCCTCCAGGGTTCCTCCTGACAATTGGTGTCCTCCTCCTCCTCATCCTTCCAGAGGCATCACTTCCTCCAGGAAGCCCTCTCTGATCTCCCGGCCTCCTCTAGGCTCCTCTGGCTCTTGTTAGTCCTCTCTGGACACCAGGCTCATGGGTAGGGAGACCTGTGTGTCCCCTAGTGTAGGGCAGGGGCGCTGGGCTTCAGGGGCAAGCCCATGCCTGAGAAGGGCCTCTTGACTCCCCGCTGGCCGCATCAGTGGCCCGGGACTGCCTGGCTTCGGCACACAGATGTTGACGTTGCATTTTCCTCCTGATCCCAGCCAGGGCTGGAGGCTTTCCAGAGAGAGGTCTCCAGCTGCCCAGGCCCTCCTCGCCGGGGTGGTAGATGTTGCTTTCCACTGGGGCCCTGGGGCGCTGGCCACACCCAGCCTTGGAAGGCCCGGGCTGGGGCGGGGGTGGGGGTGGGGGTGGGGGTCTGGCCCTGCGCTGCAGCTTCCTGGCTGCTCCTCACCCCGCGGCCTTGGCTGCTCGTGACCTGGGTGTTGGGGAGCAGGCGGCTGCCTCGTGCGCTGTGATGAGTCTGGTGGCGATGGCGGGAAGGTGGGCAGTGTCAAGGGCACCACGGGCCTCGCTGTTCAGCTCTGATCAGTATTTTCCCGCTGGGCACGTACAGACGAAAGCTGGCGGGGCTCACTCATCAGTTATGGGTGGTGTGCTGGGGATGGGGAGGAACGGGTGGTGGGACCTGGCGCTCCGGCTCTGACACCTGTCCCTTGTCCCCCCAGGACCCCTGCCTCTCTGCTCTGCTTCTCGACAAGCTCCCGGCGCCCGGCGCTCTGTCTTCATACCGCCCAGAGGCCGAGCGCCGCTGTGACGTCTGTGCCACCCACCTGCACCAGCTCACGCGGGAGGCCCTGCGGCTGCTCCAGGCTCCCGCTGGCTGCGAGGACCTTGACGGCCCTCACGGAGGCCCTGGCCCTGCGCCATCCAGCCCCAGCTCCACGACCAGCCCGAGGGACGTGCCCGTGGTGATGGGCCCAGCTGGGAGGCAGCCGGGCCGTGTGGGGCCAGACAGGAGGAAGGGGCTGGCCTGGCCGTCCGGGCCCAGTGTCCAGGTGTCGGTGGCACCTGCCGGCCTGGGCGGGGCACTGAGCACAGTCACTATCCAGGCTCAGCAGTGCCTGGAGGGCATGTGGAGTGTCTCAAAGGTCAACAGCTTCCTGCCACCGTCGTGCCTGGTGAGTGCCCCGGGCAGGGTGGGCTGCAGTCCCCTGTCGCGCAGGCAGGGTGTCGGCGGCTGTGTTCGAGCGGGTCCCCTCCTGGGGGTCTGTGTTCACGTCTCACCATCAGCGCTGGGGCTGTGGACGTTGGAGGAGCCACCCAGAAGTCCTCAGCCCTGAGTCAGGTCTGCCCACAAGGTCACTGGTGGGCAGCGTCCTCTCGTGTCCCCGGGAGTATCGCGACCAGACAGTGCCTGTGCGTGTGGTCGGTGTGGTGTGGCCACTCTTTTCCCCTTGACCACACGTGGCCCTGTGGGCTGGGGGAAGGGTCTCGTGGGCTCCTGGGATGAGGGCAGATCGTCAGCCTGGGAGGGAACATTTCCACGTGAGGAGGGTCCCCTGCGCCTCCAAGCTCTCCTGCCGTGCCAAGCGGCCCCAGGGGCCTGGCCGGGGGCAGCAGGGCCTGGAGTGTGGGAGGCCTGTGTCCCTCCCTCACTGGCCAGTTCTCAGGAACCGCCTGTCCCGTTGACTGAAGGAAACTCCTCCCCTGCAAGGCTTGCCCCCGCCCACTCATTGCCCATGGCAGCGGGCTCAGAACTCTGTGGAGCCAGCTCTGGGCACCAGTGGGTGTGATGGGTGCCACGGGCCTGCGCCGGGCGTTCTCGGAGGGCACTGAGCCGAAGGCCATAGTCCGAGATGAAGCCAGCTCTGGGGGTGCACTGGGGGCCCCACGCTTTTCCATCAGCCTCAGAGCGTTGCTGGTGGGAGTTTCTCCCGGCGTCCTCTGTGTCCCCCAGTGTCTCATCCTGGAGAAGGGGTCACAGGACGGGGTGCTAGCAGCGGGTGGGGTGTTGGGCAGGGGTTTCCTGGGACACTGGAGGGAGTGGCTGGGACCGGGATGCGCACTGCCTCAGGAGGCCCTGGCTGCCCTGCCTGAGGGGGACCTTCCCCTGGGGGTCATCGCCTTCACATGCTCCCCTCTGCTTGGTTGGGGACTGAGGGAGAATCTTGCTGTGCCCAGGATAGGGGTTCACCAGAAACAAAGTAAGGAGGACTCTCCAAGTACAGGGAGTGGTCTGTAGAGTGGAGGCCTGGGGTATGAGGCACAGGGCACGGGGGCCTCCCCAGAGGGTATGAGGGGCCTTATCAGGACTGGGGGAGGGGAGGAGGGTGTGGGACCGGGTGATGATACTGCACAGGTGTGTGTAGGTGCATAGCAAAGCCCCGCCCCCTGCATGTCACCCTTCCCCACGAAGCCCCAGGGGCAGAGAGCGATGGGTGGCTGTGGAAAGGTTTCTACTGGTATGTTTTAAGGCACCACGAGGCCAGGGGCACCAGCTTGCCCAGATGTCCGCTGCAGTCTGTGCCGGCGGGGCTGCAGGGGACAGACGGAGGGCCCCTAGCTGCTGGGGCAAAGTCCCGTAGGATCTCAGTGCCGGGCAGGCTGGTCCTGGCCCCCCCTCCGGGCTTGCTGGCCCCTCTGAGGTCGGTGGATTGGGGCTGGATGTCGCCCCTTCCGCGTGGCCTCTGGTGAGGTCCTACCCTTCGCGGCGTTGGCCCCCATGCCTCGCGGTGTCCTTGGAGCCCCCGGTTCCTGGTGGCTTTGGGATGGGGTGCATGGAGAGCTCTTGGGAAGAACTTCTGGACCTGAACTAGTGCCCATGTGGGGTGCCACACCTTGGGGGTGACCTCGCAGCCTCCTACTCATCCGTTTATTCTTCCTGGGCTGAGGCCAGGAAGAGGGGGGCCACCCCCACCGCATCTGGGGTGCCTCCTGCCTGAGAGCTGGGCTGCCCGAGGGGAATGTGCCAGGGGAACCCTAAGGCGGGACAGCAGCCCAGGAGAGCTGGGCGCCTTCCTGGAGGAGGTGGCCTTGATCTGGGCCCAGAAGGAGGTGTCAGAGGTGGTGGGCTGAGGGCCAGGTGTGGCGGGGACAGTGGAGGCCGTTAGAAATAGGCAGAGGCTCCTAACCGGGGCCTCAAGTGCCAGGCGGAAGGGGCGGCAGTGGCCCTGAGGGCTCCCGGAACCGAGGGGGGACGCGAGCTGGCTGTTGGGGCTGCAGGGTCGGTGCAACCGGAGTCCGTGCTCAGGTGGGGTCACTGGCCTCTCGCCGGGTGGCCCTGCCTGTGGTCTGCACACCATAAAACGTGGGCATTTAAAGCTCCCTCTTTGTTTTATGGGTGCATTGATTGCATCCGGGTGGGTGGGAATGGATTTATAATTAGACAACAGGCCTGGCGATCAATAGGGAGATTATTAGAACCATAAATAGAACTTTAAGACTCAGATGAGGTCATTTCTCCTGCGCCAGGGCATCGATCACTAGCCGTGGCCCTGGACGTTAGAGATCGCGTGTGGGGTGGAGAGTTAAACACTTCTGGAAGGACGTGCTGCGAATCTCGCTGACCGTCCGCGGGCCCGGGCTCGCTTCCAGGCAGCATGGGCCTGGGCTGGCGGGTGGCCCCTCTGGAGCCCGCCTGAGCTCGGTCTTGCGCAGGATGGCAGGATGGGCAGGATGGGCAGGGGACATTGGCTTGGCCAGGGGGAAGGTCTTTGCAGGTGGCACCGGAGCTCCGAGGGCCCGGAACCTTCTGGGTGCCGTGGCTGGGAGCCTGCTCTGAGCCTTCTGGGGGTCGTGCAGTGGGCATGGCCATCCACAGAGCCCCATGTCCAGGTGAGGCAGCCCTCGGCCAGCCATGGCCGTATGCAAGCCGTGTTCCTCCTCCCACATTGGTGGCACGGGGTTCGGCCCTTTCCAGGTCCTTCCACCTCCTGAGTGTCCGGCGAGGCTCCTGGCTGGGGGGCCGCCCAGTGGGACAGTCTGGCTTTAGCTTCCTAGACTGTTGGGTGCCCATGGGAGCTGGGCTCCCACAGCTGCCCCGAGTGCTGGGCAGTGGCCATGGGGCGCCCCGTGCTGGCAGAGCGCCCGTCAGACACTCACAGGACACCTGCCCTGATTCGGCAGCCAAATGCCTTCATGCAGAGGCTTTGGCCTCCTGACCCCACAGTCAGCCGGAGGTAGCACAGGCTGGGGTGGCCGGGGTGGGGCTGAGAGGCATGCTGCTGCCGGGAGCCAGGCCAGCAGGGCCGTGCAAACCCCCCGGGTCCTATGGGCACGGGTCTGGCCTGCTTGGGGTCCCAGGGCTCCTAGACCAGCAGGACCTGGAGCAGAGAGTTTTTGGCTGGCCCCTGGTCTGGGCCAGTGGAGGCCTGGCCTGGATGGGGAGGATGGAGGGCTTCCTGGGGGAGGTGCTGCATGGTACTTTGACCTGCAGAGTGGGAGGTGAGGTCATGTGGTGGGGACCCAGGAGGAGCCAGGGTTTTCCTCTATCCTCAGAGGTTGGGTGGCACAGGCTTGGAGGCGTTGCTCCTGCTGTACCCCCAATGCAAGCCTGCTTTCGTCCCTGCCTGGTGGGGTCCCTGGTGGGTGCCCACTTGTCCTCAGGGACGTGGCTGGGATGGGGGGTGCGGATGGAGCTTTGTGTGGGTTCTGGCTTGTCTCTCTAACGTAACCCGTTGCTGGTGCCCCAGTTCGGGCCTCGGTTTACCCAGTGGAGTGGAGGTTGGACAGGATGGCGCCCTCTCCCCGTGAGGCTGCAGCAAAGCTGCTTCTGTGATGGGTGGGGTGGGATGAGGCACCTGTGGGGGGACATTCCCAGCAGGGGGCCCTTTGGGTGACTAGCGGAGCTTTGAGGGGCAGCCTGGTCTGCCTCACTGGGGCCCTGGTGCCTGACATATGCCCACTGAGTGATACCATCTGTGCCCTGCGCAGGGTTGAGACTATGTCTGCAAGATTCAGCCTGGCTTCCCCTTAACCCCCCACCCCTGCTCTCCCTCCTCTGGGCACGAAATAGCCCCCAGGATATATGTGACCTGAGGGCTGGTGCATGCTGCTTTCTCAGGCTGGAATCTGACCTGTGTGGGCTTCAGGCCTAGAGGGTCCCTCGGAAATGGGTTAGCGTGGCGTTTCCCAAACTGTGTTCCGTGGAACCCCAGCGCCCCACCTGGGGCACCACGTGGAGACCTGTGGGCGTGGCTGCCGGCAGGAGCCCTCTGCTAGGCGGGCCCCACCTGGATGGCGGCCTCACGCTCTCCTCTCCCTTTTCTTTCGTTGCTGCCCTGGCTCCTCCATCACGTTTTCTGTTTGGCCACCTGCCTGCCGCTCACCCCTCTGTCTTCTGTCCCCATGTCGTGGTCTTCCCTCCCACCCCTCCTGCCCCTCTGGCTTCTTTTGGCGTGCCTGGGTTCTGCTTCTGGCAGGAGTCGGCAGTGGCCGTCCCAGTGGCCGGAGCCGTGTCTCGGCAGCTCGTGGGACGGCGGAGCCGAGGCGCGTGCGGGACACCCGTGACAGGTCAGTGTCGGGGCTCAGCCACGCAGGCATGCTGGGTGGCCTGCACTGTCACAGCAGCTGGGCAGAGGTGCCTGCTGGAGCTGGGGGGCTGGCTGGGCCTGGTGGGGTGTGGGGACCGGCGGGTGGGGTGCAGCCCTCTGCCTGGCCAGGAGGACGCCTCACTGGACCCCGATCTGGTGGGGCCTGGACTGCTGTCTCGTGGGCCTGTCCCGGGGCTGGACCAGCTGTGGTGACATCACTGTGCTGGAGCCGCAGCCTCCACGGGACAGGAGCTTCCGCGGGAGCACACGCTGAGTGTGGGAAGGGCCGCAGCTCTAGTTCTCTGCCCAGGCCTGGCTGGCCCTCCTTCCGCACGCTGTTCTGGCTGTGCCCTCTGCTCCTGAACCCCGCTTCCCTCAGTGCGCGGCCCTCTCCAGCCGTGTGCCGGGTCGCCTTGGGTCTGTGTCCCCCCGGGCTGTGCACTCTCGGAGAGTAGATTTATGGAACCCCTGCTATGTGCCAGGCAAGGTGCCTGGCACAGAGATGTGGAGACCAGACACCTCTAGGGCCTCCTGCTCCCAGCATGCTCTAGGTGTCCATGGAAGTGGGTAGAATGGGAGAGTAAGGGGCTGATGAATTGAGCATGGCCGTGACTCGGGGTGAGAAGCGCTAGACAGACTGAGGGGAGCTGAGGAGAGGTCAGACAGCTCGGGGACGCCAGGGCAGGGCACCTGTGGCGGGTGCAGGGAATGGCCTGGAGAAAGAGAGGGCTGGGTTCTGAGGGATGCATAGGAGTTCCTGCCCTGTAGGCAGAGGCAAGCGTGCTGGCACAATGCCTGGTGAGGGCCTGGGCTGTTCCAGCCTTCTTGGAGCCCTAGGAGAGTAGCTGGTGCCCTGGGGGCCAGGTGGGGGTGCTTGGCTTCCATCCATCTCGAGGTTTGGGGGATTCTCTGTGAACTTCCTGTGCAGACATGGTTTTTCTGTGTCCCAAGAGGGGTTGGGAAGCCGATGCTGACCCTGGGTTGGGTGGGGTGAGACCCTGCACAACAGAGAGGAGTCGTGCTGCCCTGCGTGGCAGGACCTCCTTCCAGAACATTCCTCCTGGGGCCCGGTGACTTACTCTGCTGAAGTGCCCTGCTGGCCTCTAGCTGGGCGCTCCAGAGTGTGGCTGCCCCCCGGGTTCCTCACCCGCACAGGGCCTCACGGAGGATGTCTCAGGCAGAGGTTGTCGCCGGCCCTGGGGGCCGGGCCCTGGAAGGCTGGACAGGGACCCTGGGGGCAGCAGCGGGCCTGGGTCAGGGACTGACATTTGCACTCCAGCGTGGCGTGCGGTGGCTGGGTCTCTGGTTTGCTGGCGCCGGCCCCGGAGCACGTGACCCCATTTGTGCTTCTTTTCGAGGCTGTCCTCGCCGGGACTCCTGTTAGCTAATTAGTGGGAAATGCCAGGGTAGTATTTCAGACACGGGAACATCTACAGTATCACCCGCAGGGCAATTAGCGCTCGTGACAAATATTTATTGTAGTTTTTTCTCTAACTGTGCCTTTGGGTGCTCCCAGATGGTCAGCCCAGGGGTGAGGGGCACAGGATCCCTGTCCATCTGTCCCGACCACTGTGGCCGCTGCATTTCTGGGACTCGATGGGGGAGGGGCTGCAAAGGCAGGCCCAGGGCGGCATCTCCCCCCGCCCTATCCCTGGGGCAGAGTGCCCAGTGCCCAGAGCTGACAGGGGCCCGTGTGGGGCCTGGGCGCGTGCCGGGCTGGGGTGGGCCGGTGCCTGAGCACAGGTACCTGTTTCTCAGGTGGCTCTGTCCTTTCCTGTAGGCAGAAGCAGCGGTGGCTGCCGTGGCGGTGGCAGACACGGTCCGAGACGGCCCTCCCCCCGTGGGCCCTGACGGCGTGTCGAAGATGTGGGGCCGAGGTGGGGCCTGCACAGCGGCCCTGGTCTCCCCAGCCCCGGGCACCCCGGCCAGGGGCTCCACGGGCCCGTCGGCTGCGGCCTCCTTCTTCGTCAGGTATGTTGACAGGGCCTGGGCAAGAACATTTTGTGGGGGGCCTCGGCTCCAGCCCCAGTAGCCTGGGGGCCTCCCTGGGAGAACCGTGACCTCACTGCTGCTGAGTTGAGTGGAAGGAGGGCTTTGGGGTTCGCCGCTGGCCACCAGGGCACCCCGCTGATGGCAGAGGCCTCCCACCCCAAGAGTGGGATGCAGCCCAGAGATTAGAAGGGGCAAGTCTCCTGCCCCTTCTGAGCTGTGCAACCTTGGGCAAGCCACATGGCCTCTCTGCACCTGCCCCCCCCCCCCCGCCTCCCCTCTGTCAGATGGTGCTTTCTTCAGAACTGTGTGAGGGGCAGGGAGCCGATGTCTGTGCAGCTCAGCCGGGGTGTCCTGGGCCTGTCTTGGGACCTGTCCACAGGGGAGGTGGACACAGGCATCAGGGCAGCTCCCCTGAAGTCAGGGAAGGGGGGTTGGGAGTGGGGGGGAATGGCCCAAGGGGGCATGTCTGGGTGACAGCCCAGGACCGCCCCCCATGGTTAGGGCCAGCTCCGCAGCCAGGAGCCCAGTGCGTCCCTGTCCCAGGCCCGAGCTCTGGTGCACGGAGGGGCTGGAGTCCAGGGCTTGCTCTCCCTCAGGGGCCTGGGTGTCTGGCCGGGAGGCCTGTCAGGCGGGGCACTGTGGGCCGAGGTGTGGCGGCGTGAGCCCTGAGGGAGCGGCAGGCCCTGCTCTCTCTGCAGACCACGGGCGAGGTGGCGGAAATGAGCCGTAATGGCAGGTCCTGCAGGGTCACTGTCCCTTCAGCCGCCCTGTGGTGCTGATAAGCTCGGCCATGCATCACGCCTGATGGCAGGACTGGCACCTCACTGGGGGTCTGGGCAAGCTGTGGGGCCTGATTGGGGGGTGGCGGGTGGGGTGCATGATGGGGTGTTGTTGGGGCACAAGGCTGGTACCCAGGTCGGGGTGTCCTAGCTGGGTGGAGCCTGCGGCCCCAATTAAGCCCTGGCTGTGTGGCTGAGACCCTCTGGCTTGGGGAACAGCAGGGGCAGACCCCGCGGCTGAGACGGCCCCTCCCAGTCGGTCTCTGCCCTGGCCGTGGGCAGCGATGCTCCCTCGGGCTGCGGATGCCTGGCCCGTCCACGCCTGAGACGCCCTGGAAAGGAAGCAGACCGGCCCCTGGGTCCTGGGGGCCACACTGGCTCATTAGCGACCCTGTGGCCCCCCAGAGCAAACCTGCAGCCTTTTGTCTGGAACCTGGCAAGGCTGCTGCTGACCTTGGGAAGTTACCATAGAAACAGGCACATCGGCTGGGACAGGGAGGCAGGTTTTCCGGGGAGCCGCGGGGAGGGCACTGCCGCTCGCCATTACTTCCAGCCTGTTGGATGTCCGCATCCCAGCGGCTTCTTGAAGGTTTATGGGCCCAGTGGGGGGGTGCCCTGGAGACTGGGAGCGCACTCCCCAGCTCCTGCCTGCCTTGGGCCCGAGACCTGCTGTTCTTTGGGGCTGCGGCACCCTCCGCCGGCAGGTGAAATGGGGTGCTCCATAGCTGTACACCCTCCCTTGTTTTGTGGGGGCTGCAGCTTAGAGAGGGAAGGGGCTTGTCCAGAGTCCCCAGGGGATGTGGATCTACCGGACCCCGCCCAGGGGCCTAAGGTGCCACCTGAGCTGTGCTCTGTGCTCCCGGGACTAGAGGGCAGAGCTGACCCCGGCCCATGACATGTCCTGCCCCTGTAGGTTTCTGGCTATTGGGGGCGGGTGTCTGTGGAGGCAGCTGGGATCTGTGAAGTGAGTGCTGTCCATAGTGCTGTGCACCATGAGGTGGGCTTTGAAGGTTGCGTAGGAGTTTGGTGTTTGCAAGGGGAGGCGAATGGTGTGTGGGTTAGGACTCTGCATTCTCCTTGGGTCCCTGAGCACTCCCCACAGATCTCTCAAGGACCTCTGTGCCAGGAGGGAGGTGGGTGTCTCGGAGCCCAGGAGTGAGGCCTGGTGCCCTGTACCCCTCAGTGGTCTGGGTCGGCCACTCGGGCACAGTGGCCGCAGCTGTAACAGAGTTCTGCGTGCCCGCCCCCACCAGCGTTCTGGAAAGGCTGGGCCTCGTGGGCAGGCAGCCGTAATTACATTTTCTCCGGAGGCTCTGGTGACCTTGACTCCCTCTGCGTCCTCCCCTCCTGCCTGCAGTGTCCCTGTCCTTCCTGCTGGTGCAGCCTCCCCCCAGATGCCTCCATTAGCACTCGCTCCTGCCCGCCCTGCTGGGCCTTTCTGAGGGTCGCCTCCCTGCATCCAGGTGCTTTGGCAGCTGTGGGGGAAGAGGGGTGCTCTCACAGGTCCCCTCCCTGCCCTGGCACAGCCTCGTGCAGCCCCGCCCCTGTGTCTGCCGGGACACCTAGCCGGCCCAGCCCCCAACATCAGGCCTGGCACCTAGCCGAGGTCCAGACCTGGAGTGGGTGCTACGCAGAAGCACACGGGCAGCTCCAGCTGGGGGGCTCTTCGGGGAGCCCCCTCTCACCTGCAGGTGGGGCTGAGGGTGCCGCACCCCCTCTCGGTGACATGGAAAATGCCAGCCGTGGCGAGGGCCAGGAGTCAGGGGTGCTGGGAGCTTGGTCCCAGCGTCAGGGGTCTAGGGCTCCCCAGCAGCCCGAGTCCCCCGCGGCCCTGGGCGGCAGCTCCCTGTGGATGCAGGTGGGTGTGTTGGGTGTGGCCCGGTCCACCGGCCTCGTCACCGCCGCCAGGAAGCGCTGGCTTGTCCGTAACTGACCCCACGCACGTCTGAACAGGCCTCTGTCTCCTCAGGGTAATTAAGGGCCTCATCATCAAGGCTGAAATTACCTTCTTGTTTGGAAGAGGTAGCTCTTCTTTGTAAAAAGGCAAAGCCTCCCTCTTTCCGTTTTCATGAATCGGTGACCGGGACTGGGGAGCCTGGGAAAGGCTCCTGGGATTGCAGAGGCGGCGGGCGCACAGTCCGGGGGCCCGCTGCGGCACCCACTCTTGTGTCCCAGGCCCGGCTTGGCGAACTCCTGCCTCCAGAGCCCCTGCCCAGGGTGGGGGTTCCGACGGGAGCAGGAATCACGTGGTCTGGGGAAGCCAGCGTGGGGGCATCAGGGCAGGCTTCCTGGAGGAGCCGTCCTCCGAGGGTGAGGAGAGCGCTCTGCATTAGGTGAGGTTCCTGCTTCTTCAAGTCTTCCCTTCAGAGCCAGACCACTCGGACTTCCTGTGCTCCCCCTGCGTGTCTCTCCTCCGGCACTCCGCACCCCTGCAGGCCCCGCTGGGGCCCCACTCCCGCCTGCGCAGCGGGCACGCCTGGTCCTGAGGGCGGCATCGTGTGTTCTTTTAGTCTCTGTGAGGCCTGGTGTCACCACAGTCCTCGCCTCCACCCTCTCTGCTCAGAAACCGGGTCAGTGCCCCCGAAAGGCAGGGTCCCTGAGGGCAGAGCAGGTCCAGCCCCCCAGAAGGTCCTCAGAGGCCCCCCAGCCGAGGTGCACTAGCCAAGTGGCTGACGGGTTTGTCCCAGTTTATGGGGGCCTGGATTTCATCAAAGGAGAAAGTGCCGGTCCTGGGGCCTCGTTAACACAGTGACACGCCTTTGACTCATGCCCGTGACGTGGTCCTGTGAGAGCAGGGACCCGGGGGCCGGGAGGGCCGGGGTGCAGCTCCCCAGCTCCCAGCCCCTCGGGCCTGGCCGACATCGGGCCAGGGAGGGGAGGAGAGGGCACCCTGAGTTAGGTCAGCCTTCGGGGTGGAGACGCCAGGCCGTAACATTCCAGACTCCCGGGCTGGCAGGACCTCAGAGGATGCGGCCCTGCGTCTGTGCAGGTGGGACCTGGGCGTGTCCAGTGGGGAGGGACAGCTCCCTGGGCTCTGCTGTTGAGGCCCTGAGGGTGGCCGGGTGGGGCTGAGACCTGGGCTCCTGCTCCGTCGAGGGTCACAGAGGGTTCCGAGCCCCACGGGGCACAGGGCTCAGGGCACAGCCCTGCCCTCTGGTCCTGGCCTCTGCAGACTGGGGGCTCAAACGGTGCCGCTTGGCTTCCCCAGGGTCCTCCCCGGCTCCAGGTCCCCAGAGGCTTCGGGGATGGGTTCAGGATGCTCTGCCCCCCACGGCCTCAGGTCCCTGGCTGACCCTGTTGAACCTGGGGGTGCAGTGAGCCAGCTTTGGGGTTGAGGGGCACAGCTCTGTGGCTGTTTGCTGACGCCTTTCAGCTCAGGCTGGTGCCCAGTGGGCTCTGTGTGCTGTGCGCTCCCCGGAGCCCAGGACTAGGCACCACTGCCCCGTTCAGAGGGAACCGAGTCCACGGGCCCCTTGACCTTCACAGGCCACAGTCGGGGCCAGGCCCCACCTCCCCTCCACAGCGGCCCTGCCAGCTCAGTCCTCGCCGGTGTCCTCTGGGTCAGCACCGGGCAGCTGGGGCGGGCTGATGTCCTCCACGTCAGGCCGCAGCTTCTCCTGGGTGGTTGGTGGTTGCTGCAGTGAAACCCACAGTGGCGGAGGGTCCTGGACAGGAGGTGGGGCTGGTGCTGGGCGGGGCCGGGGAGCCCCTGAGCTGAGGCTCTGAGGTGGACCCCAGCCCAGCCTGGACCGCAGTTGGGGGTGTGGCCCTGCCCAGCCTTCTCAGATCTCCTCGGCCTGACTCGCACCCTGCGCTCAGGTGAGGTGGTGGCCTCCCTCCACCTGCACTTGAGTGTGGTCTTCCCGCAGAGGGGGACGAGGGGCAGCAAGGGGGACGAGGAGGCCTTCTGTGCGGGAGGCTCAGGCAGGAATCGGGTTAACACCTGCTTGTGGTCAGGGGTGTCTGGGCCCCTTTGGAGCACTTGGGGGGGCACTCCCAGGACCGCACCCCGCCCTGCCCTGCCCGGCCCCCAGTAGCACCGCCACTGCTCCGTGAGGATGCGCCACCATCGTAGATTACTTTTATCCTCAACGATGACACCTCACTAGCACGAAAGCCATCCCTGGGGTCTCTTAAAAGCCAAGTCCTATTAAAGACGAGAGGAGTCAAGCAAAACGCTGCCGTGGATCTCGAGCGGGAGCCAGCCAGGGGCCGACGGCCTGGCAGGCCGGGGACAGGCGACTGAGGGGCGAGGGGCTCTGGGGGCGGCGGGCGCTGCAGGGTGCAGGGGGTGCCTGGTGGGCAGGTTCTCCGCCCTGAGTGGGGACCCGCCTGTGTGAAGGTGCCGGAATGCACTGGCTCTGGCGGTCGCGTCAGCCGCTGTTAGAGACTGGGTCAGGACATGTGGGTTGTAGGGCTGTGAGTGACCGGCACGGCCTGCTCCCCCAGCAGCTGTGGGCTTGGGGACACAGGTCAGGTGGAGGGTGGGAAGAGGGGACCCAGTGCAGGTGTGGGAGAGGCTCGGGGTCCTGGGTCTGCCTGCCTGTCAGCTGGCCAGGCCTGCACTGGGCAGAGCCCCCAGGGACCAGACCTGGCAGCCGCAGCCCCGGGTCCCTCCTGGTGAAGTTGGATTTGGGGGGGCGACAGGATGGCTCTGAGCAACCACCCCCCTGCCTGTCCCCCTCCCCGCCCCCAGGGCTGCCCAGAAGCTCAGTCTGGCCTCCAAGCGCAAGAAGCCTCACCCGCCGCCAGCCCCCGCCACCCGAGGCACCTCCACCTACCCCACGGACTTCAGTGGGGTCCTGCAGCTGTGGCCACCGCCCGTGCCTCCCTGCCTGCTCAGGGCTGCCTCCAAGGCCAAGGACAACCCCAGCAGTGTTGGAAAGGTAGGCCCGGCCTTAGACTGGGGGTGACCGCCTGGCAGGGTGGATGAGGCCAGGGGTGTTGGAGCAGGTGCGGGGGTCAGTGGGGGTACAGATGGGGAGACTGAGGCCCAGGCCAACCTTGTTGGCTGAAGGTGCGGCATGGAGCCTGGGAGACTGGGGGTGGGGTATAGGAAATGGGTGTGGTCTCAGTGTGGGGTGGGACAGCCAGGGCTTCCTGGGACAGGGGGTTAGGGTGTGACCCCAGGAGCCCCTTTGCCTCACCTGTGTTGGCGTGTGGCCCTCAGGTGGGGCTGGGAGCAGGGGCGGGCCCTCAGCTCTCCGGAATCCAGGCTGATCCCAACAGGAGCCCACCATGGGAAAAGGGGGAACAGGTTTCAGTTCAGATGGGGAAACTGAGGCCCCAGGGGAGAAGGGCGGTGCCAGTCACTGCGCAGGCTGGCGGGTCTGGGCCACCCTGCCTCCTGCAGACTCTGCTGAGACTGGGCTTCATCCTGGTCTAGTCTGGCAACTGTGGCAGAACCCGGACCGGGGCCCTGCGTGGGCAGGATCCGTGTGCACCCTCGGGTTTGTGGGCCCTCCGTGCCCATGGAGGCGACCCATCAGTGTCCCCGGAGCTCGCTAGAGAGGGGCCTGAGCCCCCGGGCCAGGTCGCTGCAAGGGGCAGAACAGACTGGCTTTGGTCGGGGCTCTCGGCCTCTGTCGTCTGGCTTTGTCTGCACAGATGGGTGGGGCTGGGCTGGTGTCTGGGGTGGCGGCTGGGGGTTGTGCACCGGGTTCTCACCCGTTTACCTGGGGCGCCAGCAGGCCCCCAGCACCTCCTCCTGGGTGGGGTCCTCCCTTCTCTGTGGCTGACACCCCCTCTGTCCCCGGGCACTGGTCAGTCCTGTCCTGCCCAGCCACTGTGCCCTCTCTGCCTGTTACTGTTACCACCATCACAGTCACAAATACCTCCTGAAAGGCATTTAATTCTGTCACAGAAGAGAAGTTAGATCACGTGTAGATCCTGACATTAATGTGCTACTTAAGGTAATTCATCATCTCGCCATATTAAAAAAGACATCCTGCCACTCGGGTGCTGAGCCCCTCCCCCTCGCGCCTGGCCCACGTCTGAGGGGCGGGAGCCCCCCTTTTATGCAAAATGTGTTCTTTCCTAACCGGCAGCTATTCAGTGGGGCTTTGTAATATCTGAACACTTAGGGGAGAGACAGCCGCGCGCGTGTTGTTGGGAGACGCTGTTGTCCCCCGGCGGCCGCGGCAGGATTCTCGCAGACAATGGCCCGTGCGTGCAGCAGGCCGGGCCGCGGGGGGCAGGCTGGACAGCTGGTGTCCGCCGACTCGCTCCGGGAGGCTCTCCCGCCGGGAGCTCTCGGCTCCTGGAGTGGCCGGGAGTTCATGCTGAAAATAACTGCCCCAGACGCCTGGGCAGTGCGTATGTCCTCTGCTGGGCAGTGGTGTATGGACATGAAATAGTGCTGTGCGGTCGTCAGGGAGTATAAGAATCGGTTCTGGGCTGATGGAGCCGGTGGAGGAACGCAGGAGAGGGCCCTGTGCGCATCCCCAGGACAGGACATGGGCTTTGGCCAGCGCGGGTTCTGCGTGTCAATGTGCCACTTGCTGAAGGGGATGGGATGGTGCCACTGCCCACTGCCCACTGCCCACAGTAAACCAATTTTCTGGGCGTGAGGTGTCTGTCACTTACAGTTGAGTCCGTGAAGAATGTTGGTTGTGACACAGTCTGGTCATTTGGTTTATACTGGTGCTTTCCCAGGAGGGGCCCCGGTTCGGGTGGCTCCCCTGTTGGGACCGTCCCTGTGGCCCCTGGCCGGGTGAAGTGCTGTCTGGGGGGTGGTTCGGTGCAGGTTGGGGTATGTTGGTCCCGGCCGCCCCTCTCCCAGTGTCCTGTTCCCTCAGGGGCTGCACCAGCCTCGGGGAAGCTGAGTCCCGGGGTTAACGTTTCAGAAACCAGAGCAGAGGCTGCTGGTCCCCTGCTGGCTGGGCTCTGGTCACCCTCCTCCTGCCCTGCTCTGTCCCCCCCTCCCCACCTCAGCTCCTCTCCTGGTCTCCCGTCTCTCCAACACTCTCCCCAGAGGCCTCCAGGGCCCTCTTCCCAGGGAGCACTGACTCCATGTTCTCTCCTGCCCAGTGTGTCCTTCCGGCTGACCGCAGGCCGATCGGCCGGTACGGGCTTCCCACCGCTCCCGCTCCCGAGGGGGGCTGCACCGGGGTCCTGAGGACTCGGGGCTCCAGGCTGGCAGGAGGGGCCCCAGGGCAGGGAGGCTGCACTTAGATACATGGGGGGCTGGGCCGGGGGTGCGGGAGTGAATGTGGAGTCCCAGCCCCAGCCCAGGGCCCTTTCTCCTCCAGCAGCACTGAGCTCACTGAGCTGGTCTCCTTGGGGGCTGGAGGGGCCCAGGGCAGGCTGAGCAGCTGCCTCCTCCCCTGGGGGGGGAGCACAGGAGTGGGGCCCAGGAGGACCCTGCTGGGAGGGTATGACTCCTCTGCCGGCCTGTCTCCCCCCTCCCTCTGCCCTCCGCCCTGGGATTGGGATTTTGGATCACTGTCAGGCTCGCTGTGTGAGGCAACAAGAAAGCCAGCCTCTCTGATCTGTTTCCTCCCTCCCCCGGCAGCAGGGGTCTGGGTGGTGTTCGCCATGCGGCCACTCTGCCTGGGAGGCGGCAGGGCTGTGGGTGCACCTGGGTGCTGCTGGGGCCCCCAGTTCTGCATCAGAGTCAGTGAGAGGGTGTGGACGAACCCCCCTGGAGGACAGGCGGGGTCACTCCGAACGGTCCCCGTACTTCTGTCTCTCTGCCCACTGGGCGCCCGGAGCTGCCCTCCTGTCCTGGCCTAGCACCCCAGTGCCCCCCCGTCCTGTCCAGTGCTGACTTGCCTGCACCGGCCAGCCTTTCCCTAGGCTTGCTTCCCGCCTGCTGACCTCATGGGCCGCTCTGGCCCGGAGCGGGGGTGGGGGTGCCGCATTCCTGCGGCAGGATCCCGGAGTGAGGCCTGGCCTGCAGTCCCAGCTCCGGCTTGCTCTGGGCGCCCTGCCCTGTAGCTGCCTGCCGCCGCTCAGATGCCTGCCCCCGCCTGCCTCCCAGGTGAAGGTCATGCTTCGGGTCTGGCCCGCCCAGGGGGCCCAGCGCTCCTCCGAATCCACGTCCTTCCTGAAGGTGGATGCCAGGAAGAAGCAGGTGACCCTTTATGACCCGGCTGCCGGGACCCCGGGAAGCACGGGCCCCCGGCGCGCTGCCACCACGGCCGTCCCCAAGATGTTTGCCTTTGACGCCGTCTTCCCGCAGGACTCGGAGCAGGTGAGCGTGTGGCTGTCCTGCGGGCTGGGGCAGGGCAGCCCGGGGCCACGGGGTCTGACCTGTGCTGCTTTGGTGCCGTGAGAGGGAAGGAACCAGGAGGCCCAAGGGGCACAGCGCAGGGCAGGCCTGCGGCCTTTCCCTCCCTTCTGACCCTCCACCCTCGGGCGTCCCCACCGGCTGCTGCCCTGGTTCTCAGGCCAAGTTCCCGTTTCCTGGGGAAGAGCCCGCCCGACTCGGCCGCTTTGAGACCAGCCCCGTGTGTGACCCTGAGCTCTGGGGATGCGCCCTGTGTGTCCTGTGTGTGCCGGGACCATGCGGGCACCGTGTCCGGGTCCCAGCTGTGCGCACAAGGCAGTGTGACCCGCGTGTGCGCCGCGTGTGCCTGTCGGCCACGTGTCTGGCGGTGCAGGCCGCGTGTGCTGTGTGTGTCTGTGTTCTGTGTGCACATAGAGATCTCTGCGTCCTTGGTCCCTGTGTGCCGGCCTGGCCAGCTGTGAGCTGATGGCCTCCGTGTGACATGGGGGTGGAGGTGGTGACAGGCCTCTTGACTCTGGTGCCTGCCTGACTCTGTGTCCCTCCCCCCAGGCCGAGGTCTGCTCCGGGACGGTGGCTGATGTACTCCAGTCTGTGGTCAGTGGGACTGATGGTTGCATTTTTTCGTTCGGCCATACAAGCCTCGGTGAGTGCCCCCCATCATCCACTCCGTTTCTGGGTGGGGAGGGGGACATGGGCATATCCCACATGGGCAGTGGGTGGGCACGTGGTGGGGGCTCATGGAGAAGAAGCTGACACCCTGCAGGCATGGAAGAGCAGGGGCCTTGGAGCAGGTCAGAGGAGGGCCCTGGGGTCTCAGTGGCCCCAGGCTGGCTGGCCCCAAGAGCCCTGGGCAGGGCCAGTTCAGCAGGGCTCTGAGGGCTGGTCAAGCTGAGCATGGGGTGGGCCCTGACCCGTCTGCGTGGCCCTCAGGCAAGTCTTACACCATGATCGGGAAGGACAGCTCGCCCCAGAGCCTGGGCATCGTGCCCTGTGCCATCTCCTGGCTCTTCAGACTCATCGAGGAGCTCAAGGAGAGGACAGGCACCCGCTTCTCCGTCCGCGTCTCGGCCGTGGAGGTGTGCGGCCGGGACCAGAGCCTGCGGGACCTGCTGGCCGAGGTGGCCTCCGGCAGCCTCCAGGACGCCCAGTCCCCGGGCGTGTACCTGCGGGAGGACCCGGTCTGCGGGGCGCAGGTAGCCAGCGCCTCTGCCACCGTGTGGGGAGCCAGGGCTGGCGGCTGGGGGCGGCGGGGGCTCCTCGGCCCTGAGCCACTGAGGCGCTGTGTCCGCCCGCCCAGCTGCAGAACCAGAGCGAGCTGCGCGCGCCCACGGCGGAGAGGGCGGCCTTCTACCTGGACGTGGCCCTGGCCGCCCGCAGCGCCAGCCGCGCCAGCTGCCCCGAGGACGCCCGGAGCAGCTCCCACATGCTCTTCACGCTGCACGTGTACCAGTACCGCGTGGAGAAGTGCGGCAAGGGGGGAAGTAGGTGTCCGTGCGCCCCGTGCCCACGGCCCGGGTTGGCGGTGGGGTCGCGGTCTGGGGCCCCTCCTCACCTGCTGCCCTGTGCTCTCAGTGTCGGGGGGCCGCAGCCGCCTGCACCTCATTGACCTGGGCAGCTGTGAGGGGGCGCCCAGCAGGAGCGGGGAGGCCTCCGGGAGCCCCGCGTGCCTGTCCCTGCCGGCCTTGGGCAGTGTCATCTTGGCGCTGGTCAGCGGAGCCAAACACGTGCCCTACAGGTGAGCGGTGGGTCCCTCGCAGGCCCCTGGGGACCAGCAGGGTGCAGGTCGGGCAGGTCCTGCGTGTCGGCCCCCAGCTCTACTTCTGCTTCCCCAGCGCTTGAGGGGCCTCACTGCCCAGTGCCTGCTGGGGTCCCTGAGTCTGGGAGACAGACCTGCCAATGCAGGCGTGGCCCTGGGCTGGCCAGAGGCCGCCTTCCCCCCAGTGGCCTGCTCCCCACGCCCGGCCTCTCACCCCGAGACCCCTCGGCCCGCAGGGAGCACAGGCTCACCGTGCTGCTGCGGGAGGCCCTGGCCACCACCAGCTGCCACACCACCATGATCGCCCATGTCTCAGACGCCCCGGCCTGCCACGCGGAGACGCTCAGCACTGCACAGCTGGCCGCCCGCATCCACCGTCTGCGCAGGAGGAAGGTCAAGGTGGGTTCCTTCCCCCGCCTGCCCCTCCGACCTGAGCCCAGGGTCCCTGTCCTCCCAGGGCCTCTGCCCCACTTGCCGCCCTGGGGTCATGGGTTTTGCCCACCTGGCCCTGCCCAGAGGAGGCAGGGGCCGCGCCAAGGTCACCTGATGCCCCAGCAGCGCTGGAGTTGCTCCCAGGGGGCCTTGGGGTTGCCTGGCCACCATCTGCCTGGCCCAGGGGCAGATGGGTGGTCAGGGCGCCTGGTGGGATCCCCATGGCCTGCCCCACTCCCTGGCCAACTGCCAACCGGCAGGGCCCTCCCTGGTGAAGGGTGGAGTTGGCACCCGGGCGTCAGAGGGACTGGGTCTGGGTCCTGGGTCTGAAGTTCTGGGCACGTGGCTGTGGATGCTCTTGCCTCCCTGTGGTTTGGTTCCTTGCGGTTTCCCTGACGTGGCTGAAAGGATTTGGTGTCAGGACTCTCTCGTCCCGTGCCATCGCCTGGTGGGAGGAGGCGGTGGCCGCTGCTGCCATGCCCCTCACTAGAGGGCTGCGTGCCGCTGGGGTGCAGGGGACAGGAGGAGCTGGGCGGGCCCGGCACTCACACGGGCCTGCTCTGCCCCCAGTACACGTCCAGCTCCTCCGGCGGGGACAGCTCCTGCGAGGAGGGGCGCCCCCGCCGCCCCCCAGCCCTGCCGCCTCTCCACCCTCGCTCCGAGGGCCTGCACCCTGACCGCCTGGCGCTCAGCTCGCCCGGTGACCCCGACTACTCGTCCAGCAGCGAGCAGTCCTGCGACACAGTCATTTACGTGGGGCCGGGCGGGGTGGCCCTGTCAGACCGCGAGCTCACGGACCACGAGGGCCCCCCAGACTTCGTGCCCATCGTCCCCGCGCTGAGCCGCCGCCGCCCCTCGGGAAGCCCGCGGGACGCCGACCACCTGCGCTGCAGCACGTTCGCCGAGCTGCAGGAGCGGCTGGAGTGCATCGGCGGCAGCGAGGGCCCCTCCGGAGCCCCGGCCAGCCCCGCCCGGGCAGGCAGGAAGCCCTCGCTGCCCGAGGCCCTGGCCCCCCGGACGGCCGTGGACGCCCTGCCGGCTGCCAGCACGCCTCACGGCTGCCCCGGCCCAGACACCCACCGGGGTGCCCCGGAGCCCTCCAAGGCTGCGGCTGACCAGAGGGCGGATGGCAGCGCCAGGCCTGAGCTGCTTGGGCTGGACAGGGTCACAGGGGGCAGAGGCAGGAGGCCACTGCCCAGCCCAGCCCCTCCACCTCCTGGGCAGCCGGACCTTGGCCGAGCCCCAGATGAGCCTGAAGGTGGGGGTGCTGACAGCGCAGTCCGGACACCCCCAGTGGGTATGAGCGGGCAGGGGGGCCGCCCCCGCCCGCCTGCACGGGGCGGTGTGGAGCGCGGCCTGCTGACCACCACGGTGACCCTGCAGCAGCCCGTGGAGCTGAACGGCGAGGACGAGCTGGTGTTCACGGTGGTGGAGGAGCTGTCCCTGGGGGGGCGCCCCGCCAGCCTGGCCAGCTTCAGCAGCGGCTGCTCCCTGCAGGCCCTGGCCTCAGGTTCCCGGCCCGTGAGCATCATCAGCAGCATCAATGATGAATTTGACGCCTGTACCACGCAGGCCCTCGGCTCCTCCGGCGGCTCCTGGCTTGGCGGGGTCGGCGTCTGCACCCCTGACAGTCTGGGCCCCACACCGCGGCTGCCCTCTCCGGCCAGCCCGGGCCCTTTTAGCCCCGACTCACCAGCAGGGCCCGGCCCTCTGGGCCCCTCGATCCCGGACAGCTCCCCGGAGGACTGCAGCTTGGGGTTCTCAGAGCGTGGTCGGCTGGACAGTCCTGGCCCCATGGTGGCAGCAGCCCCCGCCCGGCCTGGCAGGGTGGCCCAAGCCGCGTTGCCACGTGGGGCCGCCTCAGCACAGACCATCCACTCCAGCCTTCCCCGCAAGCCCAGAACCACCTTGACGTCCAGTTGCGCGGGCTGCCCTCACCTGGCCCTGAGCCCGCCGGGCCCCGGGGGCCTGTTCGAGGACCCCTGGCTGCCCCGGGGAGAGGGGTGTGGCACACTCCAGGTGGCCTCTGCCAGCAGGACCCCCAGCCCGGCCCCGGTGCTGGCTTGCGCCCGGAGGGTGGTGGATGGCTGTGAGGTGGCAGCCAGGGTGGCCCACAGGCCGGAGGCCGTGGCTCAGGTCCCACCGCTGCGGAGGGGGGCCACCACCCTGGGTGTGACCACGCCTGCTGCGTTCTGTGGGGATGTCCCAGCTGAGGCAGCGGCCTGCTTGGCCAGCCCAAAGGCTGCCCCCAGAAAGAGTGTGGCCCCCAAGGGGACCCCATTCCCTAGGCCCGGCGGGTCAGCGCCTCCGGCCCCGCCCGTTCGCAAGTCCAGCCTGGAGCCCAAGACCAGCCAGGTGCCCACCCCTCTCCCGGCCGGGGGTGTGGTCCGGACTGGGGCTGCCGCCTTCCGGGCAGAGGAGGAGGCCAGGCCTAGCGGCCGAGCTGACCACTCCGTCTCCAGGGCTGCGTCCAGTCTGAAGGCCCGGGCTGGCAAGGCCGAGGCTGCGTGCCGTCCCGCCACCCACGGGTCCCTGGAGCGGTGCGAGGGGCCAGGGCATGGCGGCGGCAAGGCCAGGGAGGCTGCTGGGAGGCCCGCTCGGGCTGTGCCCAGGCTAGGCGTGCCGCCCACCAGCCCTACGCCCGGGCCCACTTCTGCCTGTAGGGGCAGCCCAGCCAGGAGCCTGGGGACCCCCAAGTCCCCAGCTGGTGGGAGCAAGGGCCGCAGTCTGGCCCCCAGCGGGTCGAGGGCTCTGGGTGCTTCTGCAAAGCCTCTGGCCCCAGTGGCAGGCAGGGCCCCGGGTGGCTCTATGGCAGGTCCTCGGGCGGCTCCACGGGCGGCAGCTGGCGTGGGGGCCAAGGCCAGCCGGGGCACCATCATGGGCACCAAGCAGGCGCTCCGGGCCGCCCACAGCCGTGTGAACGAGCTGGCGGCCAGCGGATCCCCGGGCAGAGGCGGCCCCTCCTGGGGCTCTGCGGACTCCGACAGCGGCAACGACAGCGGCGTGAACGTGGGCGAGGAGCGGCTGCCCACGGGCCCCACGCTGCCCTCCCCCTACAGCAAGGTGACAGCCCCGCGGCGGCCCCAGCGCTACAGCAGCGGCCACGGCAGCGACAACAGCAGCGTGCTGAGCGGGGAGCTGCCGCCCGCCATGGGCCGCACGGCCCTGTTCTACCACAGTGGGGGCAGCAGCGGCTACGAGAGCATGATGCGCGACAGCGAGGCCACCGGCAGCGCGTCCTCCGCGCCCGACTCCATGAGCGACAGCGGGGCCGCCTCCCCGGGCTCCCGCGCCCGCAGCCTCAAGTCCCCCAAGAAGAGGGCCACAGGTGGGTGTGGTGCCCCCCGTCCCAGCACAGCGCTCTGCAGCTTGTAAACCCGCCCGGCGTGTGCCCTTCTCGGCCCCGCAGGTCCCCATCACCCTCAGGGTGGGCTGGCGGGGCGGGTCATGTGGTCACCCTGGTGGGAGAGGACCTGGGTTTGGGGCCAGTGCCCAGCTGCCTGGAAGCCCTCTGGCTCCATCCCTTGGATCTTCTGTCTCTGGGGCCCGGGTGGGGTGGGTTTGTTCTCACGCTGTGTGTTTGGGGGGCTGGGACGTTGACTGATGTGCGGGAGAAGCCAGCATGCTCTGGGGGCCAAGCTGGGGTGGGGCAGCAGGTGGGGGGATGGGGCCGGGGGGCCTGGCCTGGGAGTCTGGGGGCAGCAGGAGCCTGGCAGGGCAGTGGGCTAGGACTCGGTGAGGCCAACTAGGGAGGTTGTTAGGGGCTGGGAGGCTGGGGTGCCTGCTCCATGGGCGGGTGGTGGGCAGTTCTGGTTGGGGCCCCCAGCAGGATCCTGGCCAGGGCCTCGGCCGGCTCCAGCCTCCGCTCACCCGGCGCCCGGCTCTGTTCCAGGCCTGCAGCGGAGACGGCTGGTCCCAGCCCCGCTGCCCGACGCCGCTGCCCTGGGCCGCAAGCCCAGTCTCCCCGGGCAGTGGGTGGACCTGCCCCTGCCCCTGGGGGCCTCGCTGAAGGAGCCCTTCGAGATCAAGGTGTACGAGATCGACGACGTGGAGCGCCTGCAGCGGCACCGGCCACCCCCGCGGGAGGCTCTGGAGGTGGGGTGGGCTGCGTGGCGGGAGGCCCTGGGGTGGGTGGACTGAGCGGCGGGCAGACCTCCAACCTCACCTTCCCCTCTCGTCCACAGCCCTGCCAGGATATGGAGAAGGTAGGAAGTGGTGGCCCTGATGCCCGCCTTGGGCAGGGAGGGGGCGGCTGGGGGCGCCCTGCGGCCACCCGTTTCCTGGAGTCACACGGGGTGGGCGGTTCCCACTGCTGCGCCCACCGTGCAGGCCCAGGTTCCAGACAAGCAGGGGCAGGCCGCTTGGGAGAACCGTGTGGTGCCAACCCCACCTGTCGGGGCCCAGGTCCTACCTCTGAGGCCTCACCGTGTGCCCGCTGGCCTGGCGGGTGGAGGGCCTGAGAGTGTTCATGGAGCCCCCTCTGCCGCCCAGGGCCTGGCGGGTGGAGGGCCCCTGAGAGTGTTCATGCTGGAGCCCCAGGGCCTGGCGGGTGGAGGGCCTGAGAGTGTTCATGGAGCCCCCAGGGCCTGGCGGGTGGAGGGCCTGAGAGTGTTCATGGAGCCCCCCCTGCCGCCCAGGGCCTGGCGGGTGGAGGGCCTGAGAGTGTTCATGGAGCCCCCTCTGCCGCCCAGGGCCTGGCGGGTGGAGGGCCTGAGAGTGTTCATGCTGGAGCCCCAGGGCCTGGCGGGTGGAGGGCCTGAGAGTGTTGATGGAGCCCCCCTGCCGCCCAGGGCCTGGCGTGCCTGAGTGCGAAGCTGCGGCTGGCCGAGCGCAGGCAGCAGAGGCTGCGGGACGTGCAGGCCAAGCACGAACTGCTGTGCGTGGAGCTGGCCGAGACGCAGGGCCGGCTGATGGTGGAGCCCGGCCGCTGGCTGGCGCAGTGTGAGTCCCCCCTTCTGCCGGGCAGTGAGACCCTGCCCCAGAGGCACAGGCTCGCGGGACCCTGACTCCGCCCTGCCCTGGCTCCCCCTCCTGCCGCACGCCCCGGCCTGACTCTCTGCCCGCTGTCCCCCAGTCGAGGTGGACCCCGAGCTGGAGCCCGAGTCAGCCGAGTACCTGGCGGCCCTGGAGCGTGCCACGGCCGCCCTGGAGCAGTACGTGAACCTGTGCAAGGCCCACGTGATGATGGTCACCTGCTTCGACATCAGCATCACCACCCCAGCGGCCACCTCGGGGCCGCAGGAGGTGGACGTCTGAGGCGGGGCACGAGGACTTGGGGGGGGGCATGTGCAGAGCGTGAGGCTGGACGTGGGATGGATGGGGGATGTGTGGGGGTTGGAGGGACGTGGATGCAGGGCGGGGCTCGGAGGTGATGGAAGGTGAGGGAGAGGCGTGGGCGGAGGGCGAGGGTGCAGAAGGCGAGGTGACGTCGCCACCCAGACAGCAACACAAGTGCCTTTGACCTGGAAGTAGACTTCTCTTCCTGTGCTTTCGGTGCTAAGGACTCAAGACACCAGCAGCCGGTGTGCGTGGGCCCCTGGTGGGCGGCTGGCGGCGGGGGCGGAGGTGTTGGACGGGATCTCGTCCACTTGCAGCAGGTTCCTGAGCTGCAGCCTGGCCCCAGGTCCCTTTCAGGATTCAGGGTTTCTCCTCCTGGCAGACAGAGCCCACTTGGGTGGCCTGGGACCCGCGGTCTGTGCAGTGTCCTCCGCCGGTCGCGCCCGTGGGTCTTCCCACCCCGAGGGCGCCGGAGGGCAGTGCCTGGGGCTGAGCCCAGGCCACACGGCACCTTCTACCACGGCAGGAATTCTTACCAAAACCACCAAACCACAGCAGAACACAGAAACCAACACACACAGACGGGGAAAGGGTTTTGCAAAGCTTCTGTTAGGTTCGTATTTTTATATCATTTTGCCTACACACGTGGTATTTCCAGTGGGGATTTGAAGACAAATGATCTATGTTTTTATGGTTTTCTACGGGAGGTGTCCCTCAGGCGGGGCTCTTTGTGAGGGGCGCCCCGGGCGGGGCGGGGACGGGGCAGAGCCTGCCAATGTCCCCGTTCCCATCCTGAGAGGCCGTTGTCTGACCGTGACGCGTTTTTCTAGGGGTGCCCGCACCTTTGTACAAATGTGTAGATTATTTCTTTCCACGGCTTCTATTTGTGAATAAAAGATGCGTTGATTGTTGATGCGTTGATTGTTCACGCGGATCCTGGATCACTGGGCTCTGCCCTCCTCAGGGGGTCCCAGGCGGGGGGCCTCAGGGTGACGAAGGGATGCATTCAGGGGCTGTCTGAGGGCTTGGGGACAGCAGGGGACTTGTCCTCAGCCCACAAGCCCTGTAGTGCCCGTGCTGGATCAGCCTTGCCGGTGACCCCCGCTTGCCCTCTGTCCCCTTCCCCAGCCACTCTTGGGGTCGTGAGGCTGAGGCAGGGGGATGGGGCTGCGTTTTCTGCTGGGCTCCTGGATCCTTCCCAGGGGTTATGTTGGCTGGGGAAGTCGAGGCAGGGGTGGTGGAATACCCTTGGGGATCCTTGGTCTCCTCCCTTCGCCCCCGACTGCCTTTGCGGGAGACAGACAGCAAGCACACCAAGGACACATCGAGGCTCAGGACCCCAGGAGCCAGCAGGAGCCCACACCCTTGTTGGGGACTGGGGTCAGGGCTCATCCCTGGAGGACTGGGCCTCTGTTCTGGGTCAATGACAGGACCCCTGGACCCTCTGGGGTCACTGTCCCCGGCATCCCTCCCCTGGCGTTGGGGGCCTCCTGGTCTCTGCTCATCTTCTGTGGGCCGTTGTGTTCATCGTGTCGCAGTTGCGACAGTCACCTTCCCCCAAGCCTGCTTCTCCAACCCCCCCCTCTGCACCTGGTGCCTGCCCCACCCTACCCTCCTCTGGCCTCAGGCTGCTCTGACCCGGACCTGGTCCTGGCCACCTCCGTGCTGCCCACACCTGCCTGGGTCCTGGCCCCGGGCTCCAGGCACCTCAGTGCCCCCACCCCAGCCCTGGGCCCCTGTGTCTGGGACACACCCTCCGGGCAGTAACTGTAGCCCTCCTTGGGGGCCTGCTGCCCCAGGCTCCTTGCCCAGCACCTCACACCATGCTGGGTCTGGCTTGTCCCCCACCTGGGGGCCCTCAGAGGGGCGGGGTCTGAGTCACCACTGCGCCTCCACTGGAGCATAGGGCTAGGCTCCAGCACGGCCTGGTGCTTGCGGGAGGGGGGGGGAAGATGAGGGGGGGGGAGGGGAGGAAGGAAGGAGGGAAGGAGGGGAGGAAGGAAGAAAGGAAGGAAGGAAGGAAGGAAGGGAGGGAGGAAGGAAGGAGGGAAGGGACTTCTCCTCAGGAGAGTTCCAGCCCCGGGCAGAAGCAGGTCCAAGACTCACAACACTGAACAGTTTGCCAAATGCCTTCCTGGCCTGAAGCAGGCTGGTCCTCGGGGCCATGTGGCCCCAGCCCGGGGCCTGGGCACATCAGCTGGAGGCATCGGGCGGACTGCTCACCCCCCGGACTCCCCAAATTCTGTTCTGGCCAGATGTGGTTTCCAGCCAGACGCCACCCACACCTTCTCTGTCACTGGATGTAGGGGGTGGGGGGCCAGGTGGGTGTGATGGGACTCGGGGGGGGGGGGTTGGGGTCGATCCTTTCAGAACCTGATATCTGAGGGGAAGGGCTCAGAAGCCCACCTGGTCCAGCTGTGACCCAGGGTCTGACCTTGGCTGCCAGAGATCCCCTCCATCCTGAAGGACCAGGGGGTGCTGGGGTCTGGGTGGACCAGGGCCCGTCCTCAGGAATAGGAGGTGCTGGGGTCTGGGTGGACCAGGGTCCTGTCCTCAGGGATGGGGGTGCTGGGGTCTGGGTGGACCCGGGCCCGTCCTCAGGAATAGGGGGTGCTGGGGTCTGGGTGGACCAGAGTCCTGTCCTCAGGGATGGGGGTGCTGGGGTCTGGGTGGACCAGGGCTCATCCTCAGGAATAGGGGGTGCTGGGGTCTGGGTGGACCAGGGCCCATCCTCAGGGATAGGGGGTGCTGGGGTCTGGGTGGACCCGGGCCCGTCCTCAGGAATAGGGGGTGCTGGGGTCTGGGTGGACCAGGGCCCATCCTCAGGGATAGGGGGTGCTGGGGTCTGGGTGGACCCAGGCCCGTCCTCAGGAATAGGGGGTGCTGGGGTCTGGGTGGACCAGGGCCCATCCTCAGGGATGGGGGTGCTGGGGTCTGGGTGGACTCGGGCCCGTCCTCAGGAATAGGGGGTGCTGGGGTCTGGGTGGACCAGGGTCCTGTCCTCAGGGATGGGGGTGCTGGGGTCTGGGTGGACCAGGGCCCGTCCTCAGGAATAGGGGGTGCTGGGGTCTGGGTGGACCAGGGCCCGTCCTCAGGAATAGGGGGTGCTGGGGTCTGGGTGGACCAGGGCCCGTCCTCAGGAATAGGGGGTGCTGGGGTCTGGGTGGACCAGGGCCCGTCCTCAGGAATAGGGGGTGCTGGGGACCAGGGCTCGTCCTCAGGAATAGGGGGTGCTGGGGACCAGGGCCCGTCCTCAGGAATAGGGGGTGCTGGGGTCAGGGTGGACCAGGGCTCGTCCTCAGGAATAGGGGGTGCTGGGGACCAGGGCTCGTCCTCAGGAATAGGGGGTGCTGGGGTCTGGGTGGACCAGGGCTCGTCCTCAGGAATGGGGGTGCTGGGGTCTGGGTGGACCCGGGCCCGTCCTCAGGAATAGGGGGTGCTGGGGTCAGGGTGGACCAGGGCTCGTCCTCAGGAATAGGGGGTGCTGGGGTCTGGGTGGACCAGGGCCCGTCCTCAGGAATAGGGGGTGCTGGGGTCTGGGTGGACCAGGGCCCATCCTCAGGAATAGGGGGTGCTGGAGTCTGGGTGGACCAGGGCCCGTCCTCAGGAATAGGGGGTGCTGGGGTCAGGGTGGACCAGGGCTCGTCCTCAGGAATAGGGGGTGCTGGGGTCAGGGTGGACCAGGGCTCGTCCTCAGGAATAGGGGGTGCTGGGGTCTGGGTGGACCAGGGCTCGTCCTCAGGAATAGGGGGTGCTGGGGTCTGGGTGGACCAGGGCCCGTCCTCAGGAATAGGGGGTGCTGGGGTCAGGGTGGACCAGGGCTCGTCCTCAGGAATAGGGGGTGCTGGGGTCTGGGTGGACCAGGGCCCATCCTCAGGGACCAGGGGGTGCTGGGGTCTGGGTGGACCAGGGTCCCGTCCTCAGGGATAGGGGGTGCTGGGGTCTGGGTGGACCAGGGCCTGTCCTCAGGGACTAGGGGGTGCTGGGTCTGCCTGGGGTGACACAAGAGGCTGTGAAGCCAGTGAGCCCCCCTCACTGAGGGCTTTGGCTCCCTCCCAGCATGCCCTGCACTCTCACTGGGCTGTGGCCGACGGGATGGTGCATGAGGCTTGCTGGGTGGGTTCCTTTCTTCTGCAGGGAACACCCCTGCTCCCTCCCCTCCCCCTCAATCAATCACTGGAGGGGCCCAGAGCCTGCTTCTCCCTGAGGGGTCCCCTCCTGTCCTTGCCTGTCGCTGACCCAGCACCATCCTGGCTGGGGCATCTCTGGAGCATCCCTGGCTGATCTTTGGGCCCGGCCAGTGGAGCCCACTTCCCACAGTTTGGGGGAGGGTGGTGTCTGCTCTCCGGATGAACCCCTGTCCTGGGCTGGCCTGGGAGTCCGGCTGCCTTTCATCTGGGACATCAAAGCCCACAGCCCTGTCATTACAGGCTGGGAACCGGCTCCGCGCGGCTCCGAGGACCAGGACGCCCATTCGATGGATGGGAACCACATGGGACCCGGCTGCTGGTGGAGCCGGCCGGCCGGCCTCCTGCTAGCGAACACTGGGGAAACTGAGGCCCAAAGCGGGCACTCCGGTGCCCCTTCTCCTTGGACGAGGGCAGACCAGAGCTCAGGGGCTCTGGTGGAGAGCCAGGACCAGCCAAGCCCCGGGATGGGGTGGGGTGGGGTGGGAGCAAGGGCCTGGGAGGCCGTGGGAGGAGGCCGGGCGCTTGCCTGGGCCATGTGGGGACAAAGCCATGAATCGGCTCAGGTGGTGTCTCTCTGCCGGCCTGCGTCCCGGGCAGGGTGCTTGCTGACTCACTCGGCGAGTCCCAGCCTGCTCCGCCACCCTGCTCACCCAGCCCTGAGCAGCGGGCGCCACGTGGGGAGGCTGGGCCAGTGGAGGTCAGGCTGGGCTGGGTGACCAGGCGCAGGGCCTGCAGCGGGTGGCTGGGGACAAGCGGGAGCCTGGGAGGTGGGCAGGAGCGAGCGCCTCT